TGATCGGATCGGGGCTTGTGCAGTTTCAGAGAGTGACTACGAAGGGATGGCATCTGAGCCGGATGGAACAGTCGAGTTAGATCAGGCCTAATCATGCTCGTCACTATACGGTACGTAAGGATCAGGTAGCCCCGAAGGCGCCTATAGTGCGAAGAGAACATCTGCAACCCAAGTAGCCTATCAGGATACGAGGGCTGCCTCAATCCTTGCACCATTTCGGTGCCAGTCCTCAGAACTCGTTCGACTGTCATCTTGTCGCGGACCAAGCATGGAGGACAGGTCCGCATACAGTACTCCAAGTATGGCCTGACAAAGGTAGAGAACAATATAACAAACATTTCATTTGTTATGATGCCGGACGACCTGCGGATCATCCACAGCATTCAGAAACCTTGCGAGTAGCGGTTGTCTGGTTGTCGCTGGATTTGAAAGCAGAGAATAACGAGATACCCAAATTGATTTGTTGAATCACTTGAGGCACTACATTTTCGCCAAGTACGTAACGAGTTGTGGAAGTGCTTAATCATATGCGCAGGACCTAAACGTTGGCAAAATTTATTGGGAGCTGCCACAAATCTGACCACTCCTAAAGCTTGTCAAGAGCTGACTGCAAAGCCACGAGATTATCACAATCGCTCACTGGATTCCAAAACTGTAAGTCACTCGAAAACATAAGGGAGGTCGTTAACATACAGTGCAAAAAGTAGAGGTCTGAGAACCGATTCCTGAAGAACACAGCTCAGGATGGCTTGTCTGAAAGGAAGCCGAAATTCATATAAATACTTGGCTTGAGCCGCCGTAGGATTTCAGTTGAAACAAAAGGCAATGCAGAACGGTTTTAGAATAGTCAATGAACAAAACGTCCACCGCCTGTCCTAGATCCACAACCTCAGCGCAGCGCTCCCGGGCTACCAACATGTAAGACAAGGAAGAGTGATCTCCGTGGAACCACTGTTGAGACGAGTTGAACATGTTTAATTTAGCTGTTTGTTGAGAACATTTCTTACCAGCTTCCCTAATACCATAACCAGCACGCTTGTTAAGCTAACAGGTTTGTAGTTCTCAGGGAGGTGCTTGTCGCTTTTTTGAGAACAGGACAAACGACAGCCTCTCCCGAATCGGTAAGCAGAAAGCAGTTACGAAGAAATCTTTCAAAAAGATATATGATCGGTTTACACAACAACTCAGCCAGCTCGTACAAGGGCTTGGGTGGGATGGCACCTATCCCAGTAGCTTGGGTTGGATTTAGATCACGCAGGAGCTTGAGTACCAGTTGCCGAGGTGAAAAGACCTGTCAGGAAGGAATCCACTGGGATCTTTGCTGCGAAGTCGATATTCGGCAACAGATATTCGTGAACAAACGACCTTGCATACTTTTCAGAAGGCCTGGTAGACGACCGGTTACTACATTTAGGATGATACACAACGTTTCGCTTTTGACACAAAATCTTGACGAAGCCTTTGTGTCAAAAGTGAAACATTGTATATCATCATAAATATCTTAACCGGTCGTCTACCAAGCCTTCTGAAATGACGACTTCCCGATCGGTTCCAAATATGTTCTAAAATATCGAAACCTTGCATACTATTCCGCAAGTAAGCAGGCCTCTGTAGAGATGATAGGTACTTTCCGTGGGAGCTGACACCTAAGTTCTGCAACATCTGGATCGCCTACTGAGCATGCAGCACATCTCAGTCAGATGAAGGCGGTTTTGCCCCATGCTGTAGCTGATGTTGCATTCATGATGCTTCACCGCAGTTGGGTTAAACCAACTTACCCTTAAACCAGGTCTTTTTGAGGTGGACAAAATTCATTCTACTTTAACTGGTTTGTTCTGCCTTCCTGAATAATCTTCTATCAACTTGCACAAGTTGCTTACGCTAATTGCGCTTACCTTGGTTAAATTTATGGCGTTTGTAGCATTTTTCGAGTAACTTGTGGGGATTTTGTACTTATCGCTTATTCGTTGATAAGCAACTTACTGCATATGCTATTTAACGAAGAGTTACGTTTGCACAGCCGTATGCTTTAACACGTACTATTTTTGATAATGTTATTTCAAGTGACGGGCTGTTGCTTGGTATCCCAGGTGTGGCTGCGCTTGATGTGCATGTTGATAGGGTGCCTACCTGTCTATTACCCACTACCTCCTCCATACCGGCTCCAGGAGACAGCTGGTCGTGGCTGGAAGGGACGGGGTGCACGGTCCATGTGACCGTGTTGGGCTCGAAGAGTGGTTCCAGGCGCTCAGTGTGGAGCGGACCACGGTCCAACCACCGCCTTGTGTGCGCTTGATTCCCCAAATACAGCGTGCTTGTGTTTGCCTGTGAAGGAGTGTAGGCCGGCCCCATTGACGTAACGTGGCTCCTATCCACCTGCCTTCCGGTCTTATTGATTCGGGTTTACACTGCATATGGAGTGCGTGGTTGGAGCTGTGGGTGATGCAGCGTAAGCCACCCATGGTCACTCTGTAGGCGCAGGCGTCCTGTGGTTGTCACTGTGGAGGCCACAGTGACAGGCAATTCCGAAACCAAACGCCGCTAACCATATTCTTCAAAGAGACTGGGATATGGGAGAAAGAAATCTCACAAAGAGAGGATTTGAATTTGTCTCACGTGACCTGGACGGTATCATCCTCCGAGATAGCGCAGGGATGATAAGCAGCCTTGTCACTGAGGCTTTGATAATAATCATCAGCAGCAGCATACACCTCAGCTATTAGGCCGCAATACAAAAGACAAGAAAAAAAACAAGAGGTACGCCGGCTGAGTCCCCAGTAACGGATGGACATCGTTCCGGAGAGCTAACAGCCGGCTATCGTGCCGCAAAAAGTTCTATTACGTCTACCGAACAAGATCGTTATTGGAAGGGGAACCAGAAAGGAGGGGTGGACTGAGGTAAACACAACACAAACGCTATTCGGACCGGCTCTTTGCCATATCAACAAGTGGGTCCAAGCAAACGTGCTCATCGTCCTTAGGACCCCAGCCAGGCAGTCGGGATGTACCAACCGACACCAGTTTCGAAGTGAGGGTTTTCATTCCTTTCGACTAAGTCCCCGCTTGGCCTCCTCTCATCCTCTTCCAACCGCACGCCCGGCGCGCAAACAATGCACGTCGCGGAAGTCGGTGTGCTGGCATGCGCAACATGTGGCCCAGCCATCGGAGCCTGATGAGTGATATACTGGTGCTGAGCGGTTCACTCGCTCTTCCTGCACCAAATACGCGACGCCGAACACACGCATTACTCAAGCGATGCTCCCACCAGACATGAACTATGCTGCGAAAGCAGCGATGATCGAGTGTGACGAGCCTCTTTATGTCTGTCGACCTAATGGGCCAGCTTTCACAACCATACAGGAGGGTTGAACGGACGGCTGCACTTAAAACTCTGTCCTTCAGGGTGTCATGTCGTGCCTGCGTCACAGGTGGCGCAGACTGCCAAAAGCACCTTGAGATTTGCTATAAGGTTCGTAACCACATCTTTGATTCCACGGGCGCCAATATAACTGCCCAGGTACTTGAATTCCTGAACGACTTCTAGCTGATCACGACCAAGAGTCAGCGCAAGGATGGGTCCCTGCCAATTTCGGAGTAGTTTGCATTTCGATGGAGCAAAACATACCGCAAAACAATTGACAGCCAGTGCTAATCGGTTCATTGCTGCCTGGCATGTTTGTGAGCTGTCACATATGAGGGCAATGTCGTCCGCATACTCCAAGTCAAGAAGTCGTTCACCAGGAAGTAGCTCCACACCTAGGTCGCATCCAGCGAATGCTGTTTTCATGACTTCATCAATAGCGAAGTTAAAGGGGAAAGGTGAAAGTGGGCAACGTCGTCTCAACACGCGGGAGATATTGAACGGTGGCGACAGTTTGCCATACACCCTCACTCTGCCCGAACTATGTGCGTACAGCGCTTTCATATTTATCGGGCACACCTTTTCTCAGCAGACAGTTCAAAAGGCAGATCGATCCAACGAATCGAAGGCAACTATGATATCGAGAAACATAACAATCGTTAGTCGCCAATAAACATGGCGGTGCTCCAACAATTGACGCAAGGTGATGATGTGGTCGATGCAGCCACGATTTCGACGAAACACGGCTTGCTCTTCGCGGATCTGGCCTTCACGAGCGTTAGTCTGTGGCTTGGTAATCAGCGCGACAAATATCTGGGTTCCTGGTACTACACCCTTCACTGCCCCAATTTAAAGCGCAATTGTATAGTAGGCACACATAATCACTAGCGTTCAAGGGATAATCGTAAACTACATCTCGCACAAAACCCATCGAATTTACAAAGATGGTCTAAAAGCGTTTTTGGCTTTCCATAAGCCTAGGTGACTTTTGTACAAACTGATGAAGGGATAATGGTAAGAAAAGATCAAGTAGATCGGTGGAAAAGCCCCCTGGCGATGCTGTGCAGAGGAAATTTCCCTAATCAACCTCGGGAGTATCAAAATCACCCATAATCAGACATCTGTTTATTGTAAGAGCAGGTACGAAATCAATAAGCCCGCATGACGCCCTTTCGGGGCTTCTGTATACTAGCATAATCTGGAACTGATTGAAACGGTTGCACACATCCACCGAAAGAGCCTCAGCAGTTACCTCAGGTGAAGTGAACAAATATGTTCGTATAACAGTTAAGGTGGAACTGATATAAAAAGTAACCCCACCTCCGCGACAGCATGAGGCGCGATCAGCTCGCAGTAGGGCATAGCCAAGCAGACATACATCACTGTGCAGGATGTCGGAGAACAGCAATGTCTGAGTAAAGCAAGTAGGTTTGGCCGAGAGCTAGGAACAAGAGTACCAATCTGGCACATCTCATTCCCCAGACTGCGTAGGTTACTAGGAACTATTTTAAGGAAATTAGGATAGTGAGCCGGGGATGATGTGCCAGCAGAATGGGGTCTGGAAAGTCAATAGCAGACCTCCGAGAACACAGGCTAATGAATTCGTCACGCAGAAAAGGCTGAAAGAAGCAAAGACCAACCTCTCTTTTACGGCCGCGCTTCTTCTTTTTCTTGCTTATCTTAATTTTGATAGGTGTAGGAACTTGTGTGGTGACGCCTGGTGAGGGAGGGGGAGACGCGCTTGCCACTTCGCTACCAGCGCAGCCGGAGAGTGGTGTTTCAAAGCCTGATGCAGCTAGTGCGACAGAGGACTTGCGTACCAACGCTTTGCAGCGTTTTTTGGAAATGGAGCCACCCAACCTGATGTCAGATAGGTCGTCGTCCTGCGTCTCAGTGTCAGCGTCGTCATATTCGTCACCAAGTTCTAGGACTAAAGCATTAGAAGGGACATACACACCTTCTTCGCCTTTTGGGATGTATGGGTTCATAATGGCAAATTCCTTCCACTTTGTGTCTAGTACTTTCTGTATATTTTCTTTCGAAGCATGAGGATTCCTCTGTATAATCAAAGGCCGTACGTATTGATCAAACAATTTCTGTATGGTCCAGTTCTCAAAATCTTCAGTTGAGTAGGTTAGTTCAACATCTTCGATTCCCAGCTCTTCACACAGCTGGTCGACTGTTTTCTCCTTCTGCAAAATAAATGTTAACGTGTCGCGATGAAGATGTTCACCTTGGAAAACCGATCTGACCGTCGTTTCGGTATTGAACAAACAGCTTCTTCCTCTTCCTCCTGGAGTGTGGAAATAAGGGAAAGACCGAATTACCCTGAGACGTCTAAGTTTCGACCTCTTTTTACTCTCCATAAAGTGTCGGAGCCACCGCCTAACGATCGGATAAGCAATCCCAGTATAATTCGTGACGGTTGCCTGGTACAGTCTGTGTAAACATGCGCAAGTAGTTTACTGGTTGGATGGTCATGTATACTGTAAAGTAAAGTTAAGAGCAATGTCAATTTACCTCATAGTTAAGGAATGAAAACAGTGTAAGTGGTTTGTTTATATGAATTACGTAGCTTGTACATTTTTGGCGCCTTTCGTGTCCTTCGCTATTCAGGTTCTTACCGCTACTTTTTGTTGCATGATAACTGGGGGTTACGAGGTAATTGAGGAGCTCCAAGGCGATTTGATGCACTTCCAAAGAGAAACTGCAAGCTCATTTTCCAGCTGCACGTTGATTACTGCTGCTGGTCATATGCAAACGACAGGAAACGATCTCCCTAATGGTTTTCGTTATCAATTCATTCAGTATCTATGTGTGTACAGCGAACATAAGAATGTGAACGGTAAACGGCAAGATGCATTGTAAGCTTACCTGCTGATGCATCTTCTAGTTACAGGTGCTATAAACGCAAGGCACGGATTTCCTTCGTGCTGAAAGGCAGTTATTAAGAAGTTGAACGCGCCTGCTTGGGGCATCCGCATGTGTTCCAGTTGGAGATACCTTGGCTTTATTCCCTTAATCGGCGGCTTCACGCAGTAGAGGAGGCGGTGGTTTTAAATTTGATAAAGTCGTTGCGTCAGACAAATGCAAGCAAGCAGTTGTGTTCACAGAATACGACATCCGTATTACCAGGTTGATTTATATCATCTGAGGCATCATAGTCAGGCGGGGCAAGTTAGGGATGTAGGGCATGGAATCGCCCAGTTGGAAAACTAAGGTTTTGTACGGTTGTGATGGAGAAGTTGGTGGGGCGATTCCTTTTTTCGTGCCTGCGTGCATTTGTGAGCTGGTTGAACGCTACGGCGAGGTTATACTGGCGGGTTGTATGCATCTGATTAATTACGGAAGCTACATTTGATGGAAACGTATGTTCATTGACGACACAGTGGTGGGGGTTTCATCCTTTTACGATTTGTTGCCGAATGAAAAGACAGAAATTTATTTGTAGGCGGGAAATGCCATAAGTGAAAGGCTTATAAACACGGCATCCGTGCAAACAATTTTGGCAGGCTAATTCGTCCAGTAAATCCTGGCTTTCAGGGAGGTGTATCCGGAGGAGTGCATGGGTGTCACGGGACATAAACAGGCGGTGCGGTCAGCTGGTATATGACGGCCCAGCGGAAAGGGCTTTCCTGGTTTGGTTGCTACGAACCCGATATTCACACCGGAGGAAGCGCGTTAACGCGGAATTTCGGAACCCATACAGCATTGAAATACTGAAAGCTTTGAGTAGTTCCGTAGAACCTTGGTATCTTGATGATGCTTGGAGGGCGCATCAATTACGGCATATCATGATGCTCGGATACATTACCATTAATCGAGTGGGGAATGCAAATAGTTGCCAGTACCGCACGGTGAGGGAGCTTTCCTCATTAAAGGCGCGTTCGAGATGATAGTTATTCTTGCGAAAGGCGTGGCGGATGGCCCAAGCACTCAGGTAGTGACGGAGTGCACGCGAAGTAATGCAGCACGCGGCGATGGATCATGGTGCCTGAGCTTGTAAGCAGATGTACAGCATGTTCTTACGAAAGGGTGCTGAAGCGTTTCTGGCACACAGTGATGGTCGGTGTCACACCGGATGAAGGCTACCAGGTGGCGTCGGAATCGTGGTCCGCGGCGTGCCGCGTACGCATAGACCGAGGCAGTAGTTTTGGTTGTTCTTTTACTCGTCATTGCAGCATGCCTTGCGGTCTCCTATTGCACGTGGCGGTGGAGGAGCATCGGAATGCCCATGAAGTCCTTCTACGGTGTCAATGGTTGATAGATTTGGTGGTACGATCTGAAACGGACAATCACTGGGATTGCGGTCACTCTGAAACGGTCTCCGCGTTTGGTCATGCACGCCGTGTGATAGACAGGCGCATAAAGGTTGGAGGCTTGAAAGAGTTGCTGGCGGAGTTCGCTGTGCAGGCACACACTCACGAGGCAGACGAATATCTGAAAACCCTTGATATTTTGCTTGTGTTCCGGAATGTTATCGCTGCTAAGTTGGATTACAACATTTGCTGAGATACGCCGAACTGTTTCGAACTTACACTGTAGTGCGTCGGCTATATGCCACGTTTCTTGGGAATTGTGCCCTAGCAAAATGCCATTATAATCCTGATCCTTAATCTGTGTGATCTATCTGGCTTCCACATTGTTGGCCCGATTAGTACTGATTTGTGATACTCCTCAGCATGACATCCATCCTACTTCCCACACACACAGTCATGTTGTGT